CTTAACCTATATATAAAACTCTCTCTTATACATGAGTTTCTGTGGATTTGTTTCTCTAAAGTACCCAGATTAACATTGTAGCCAACTAAAAAGGAGGCGGGAAAAGGAAAAAAACAAAAAGGAATGGGTCGAGGAGGAACAGGGCACTAACCCACCTAAGGGAAGGGTATTGTTTATATCTCCACAGGGAAAGAGGGACCAGACTTCAACCTGGTGCTCCAAGATATGAATTCAACATGCCAGCATGGAGTAGGGAACCAGTGGAGAGGTCTGAGGGGTCGGCCCCAATCCCAACTACGTGGACAGCTGCCCCTCCCCACTGGAAGAATTTATTTCAGAGGACAGCACAGAAGCTTCAGTTGAGGGAGAGGGACATGTCTGATCAGAGCACATGGGAGCAAATGAAGGGGGAGAAAGAGAGAGTGGAGCACATCCTGGCCCACCAAGCCTTGAAGACGATATTCCTGCTCAGAGCAGCCAATCCACACAGAAGACCATACGGCCAGCCCCACTATGAGACATGACATCCCTCACTGACACATAGCTCTACAGGGCCAACACTGGAGACACAGTGTGAGAATTGCGCCTGATCTGATCCCGTCACACCGAGGCAAAACACTAAGGGGGTGCAACAGAATAGCAAGGGGAACAGAGCAACGAAGTCCCCAGGGAATACCAAAAATAGATTTGAGGCCAGAGCTTGGTGCCCCCATCAGACTCGACTGGAAAACACTCTTAAAGGCCAACAAGCAGTCCTTGAACTAACTAGAAGCTTTTCTTTCTTGTTTGTTTTTTTTTTTTGTCATTGGCTTGATGTTGTTGCTGTTTTGTTTTCTTTTGTTGCTTGATTTTGCTCTGTGTTGGTTTTGTGCATGTTATTGTCTCCATAGGTCTGGCTAAATAAAATAAGCTGGATGAGCAATCTGGAGGAGAAAACAATGGGACTGACAGTTCTGAGGAGACATAGGAGAGCGGGAGGTTGGGGGAAAGGGAGTGGTGTTAACAA